TAGAGAGGTGCATGGGTTATGTCAACTGCAGAAAGGTTGAAAAAGCATAGAAACTGTGTGACTAGTGGAATGGGAGATCTCAAGGAGGCACTGGAAGAGGTTATCAGCTAATATAGCAGCTTAATGAGGAGGTCAGTTGGTGGAACAGTAGAAAAGGCATACTGTGTTTATACTTAAAAACAAAAACTTACATCCTGGGCTGTTGTTATAAATGTTTAGGCCCCTTGAAAAATCGCCACATATTTCCAGACACATGTACATTTCCATAGATACATCACAGAGACACACATTTCCACACACATATACAAATAGATATGCATTCACACACACACAAACAAATAAACAAACAAAGAGGGTTATTTACTAAAGTGAGAATTGTCAGGAATCCAAAGTGAATTTCAAATTAAATGCCCTAAAAAGTTAGCTGACATGGAGAATTTCCCCAGTTAAGGTACATTTTCCTTAAATTTGAAATTCACTTTGAATTCCTGACAATTTTCACTTTATTAAAACTAAAGTCAGTGAAACACCAACTGACAGACAAACATATACACCCAGATAGACACACACTCTCCCAGACATACGCACAGATTGGCAGACACATCTACACAGACACACATACAAAATGCAAGACACACGCTCTGTCCCCCACATACATATAAAACTGTAAGACAAAAATATCCTTGGGGCACCAAAAAGATAAACTGAGCCAAAACCCCATGGCTTGCAAATAGATTAAATGTATTTTGACTATCTATGTAACTTCTCTGAGTTCTTCTCAGAATTGTACTGAGTAGCTTCTGTCTTGGGTGGGAGTTGCCATATTGATTCATGGCATCATTACTTATCATACAACCTGCAGAACATTCAGCAGCAGTCAGAACCAATGACTAGAGTGAACCGTAAGTGTTTGTCCACACACAAAGCTCCACCCCTACCCCCAAACTCTCCACAGACTGAACAGGACCTGTAAATGGTGTGTAAGTCTGTACGGTTAATTAGCTAAACTATGAATTGTTGGGAAATGAAAGTAATTACAACGTGAATTTGACATTTTAGGCAAAGATAATATAAAATAATGCTGACTTACAGAATATATAAAATTCACTATTGTGGCCTACAAAATCCATTGAATTGACACAAATTCACACTTTACTGATTCACCTTGTACATTTAAAATCTAGTTATATTGTTGGTCAATATTTAGTGCAAGTGCAAATCATACATGTTAGTACAATCATTTTTAGGACTGGTGAAAAACTAGCAAATTTATTTGGCACATGACTTGTTTTAAGAGTGCAAATTCACTTAACTTAATGCAGTTGGCCATACGTGTCACCTTGAAACGTTAGTTGTAAGGTGCTTTCATTTGTGTAAAACTGTTTTTTTCGCTAATATAGCTAGGTTTAAAGAAAAAAAAGTGAGCGTTTCCAGACTCACATGGCAAGGTATACTGCATTTCTTTCATGAAACATATAAATAAATCTGACAAGATCTCCCTGGCAACCACAGCACAGGAGGTGGGTTACCACTGAGTGGGACAGTAACACAGAAAAAAACAATATATGTGAAAATGATACAAGCTTAGCATTTAGGCCTCGATTTAATATTTATTGATAAGCTTTTTTTCAAATAATGTAGCATTTCTGAATAAACTTTTAAAATGACTCAATAGTATGAAACATATTTTAATTTTGTAATATTTTGAGATTTTGTTTCATATATTACAATTTTTTAAAATAGTTTAGTAAGCTGAAAAATAAAAAGTTTACAAGTTTAGCCAAAAATATTCTGTCTACCAAAAAACTCCCCAAACTACTTACTGTCTTAAGTCACTTACTTATCTTGGTGTGAAGCCCATCCAATTTTTTATGTATAGTGTTGTCAACCTATCACTGTCCTGATAATATAGTACCTGATAAAGCAGAAGTATAGTTTCCTCATTATCAGCATGGCTGAACAAGGGGCTACCAATTGGTGATGGGCAGAGCATTGTTTTTTGTCAAAGTGCTCCAAAATAACATCCGTGACCTCGTAACACCTTAACGCCTACTATGAGTTACAGTTATGGTGTTTAGAGTGCCCATATAAAGCCATGCTTTGACTATATCTTAGCAGGGTATAGAGGGTCTTGACCTTATGATAAAGTTGTGAAATACTGGACTGCTGAGATGTAAAAAAGATTATTACTCTTCTTTAAAGCTGTTGGTGACTATGGCCAATGTTGTTTATCAAGCAAGACAACCTGATATCTCTACTGCCACTATGACACATGAAGGTTTCAGCATTGGCATGGGAACTCTTCATAGAGAAACCAAAAATCTTAAGATTCTTGTTAATAAGTACATTAGTATATTTGTGTTGGATTTAATTAGGTAAGCAACTCTTTCCACCTAGTTATTACTTTGAAAACAATAAATTCTAAGGCAAGTCATGCCAATTCATCCAATGCACTTCTTTCACACCGAATGGCATTGGATGCAATAACCTGCCTAAACTTACCTAAATGAGAAACATTATTTGCTACCAGAATGGACATCTATAACTCATGAAGTACAACAAGATATCTATTGACCTTGTTGGTGGTTTTAAACTCTGTGGTGGCTCCCGTTAGTTGGAACAAAGTCACTGTATACATAAACTATGCAATCCAGATCAGAAGTTCAATTAGGGATGTCAATAAAATATACATACTTCAGGGTTACATGTCAACCAAAACAGCCTTTAAATATGTATTTATCACAGTTGTGTCACTATCTGGAAGCCCAACAGGCACCTGCCAACAGCAAATGTTTTACTGGTTAGTTTTGGATTTCTTTAATTAAGCTTGACACTGGGAGAGTCTAATGCTTTCAAATATATTGTTAATTTTAGAATTGGGTCGGTGAGCTCATATTAAAGAATTAGTTGCCAAGGTAATATAATGTACATAATTTATGTCCCTGTCAAAAAAAAGAACTTCTGCCTTAGGGGAAGACAAAGAAGTGCAGTAATCGAGGCCTCAACATACAACAAACGTTGAGTTATGTTAGTGACTCCTTTACTCAGTGAGAATAAACAATGGAGAACCAAAGGCTGTACCCCCATAAATGTACTTTTAAAAAGATCATCTTACCAGAAACTAAGGATTCCTACTGAAATATAAATTGGACATTCATAAATAATTTTTTTAAAGGACCTCGCCAGAAAAGTTGGAACACTTCCTAAACACCCAGTATGCAGACCTTTTATGGATATCCAAGCCTTAAGAAAGATAATTAGTTCCCAAAACTTGACATCCATATGTAGTCTTTTTGGTTTGCACATTTGCACTTTACCAACATATATCAATACAATTTCAATTATAAGATTGTCAAGTATAGCCATATTGCTTTCCCTGCAGTATTTTGTTACTTTAGTAGAGATTTTCTGATAATATTTCCACAAAAAACATTTTAGCATCTCCCAGTAGTGCTATCATACTTATCTTGCAGTGTTTGGGGCCTTCTTAAAAAGATGATAATCTCAATAGCAAAAGATCTCTAATGCATTTTATTGGGTTACACCTAAATTTTAACAAATTATATGGGATGTGTCTCAGGGACTACATAGAGAGGAGATAATGACATAATTTACAGTCTCGCATAATGGATAATTGAAACAGGTATTCTTGATAAAATTAGATATCCTGCTGACATGGTAGGCACATCATAGGGTAAGTTGTGTAATAATCTAGAACTTCCTAGAATAATTTAAGGGATGGGGCAATGTCAGATGGAAGAGTCCATAGATTTATTGACCAATAGATTTATTGGTAAAAAGTATTGGCCGCATCCGTTAAATTCTTGTACAAATATAGCCACAACCAGAGAGGTCTAAAGATTATAAATATATATGCAAATGTGGTGTACACATGTTGGTTTATGATTTGTGGACCTGTTTGTGGGTAATGGTTCCCAAATGATTTGAAGGCCTCCTCGGAGCTTTGTGCAGAGGGGGTTTCAGCAAGCCTTTAAGGGAAAGTATAGGGAATGTGGTTGAATGACTAATGGGGAGTGTGTATGAATGATGATCACATCTTAGGCAAGGGAGTGATGTCATTCAAATTCAAAATGGGAGGGTGAAACTGCATTAATGACCAACCTTGAAGAAACAAAAGGGTTTACATACCTCACTAAAAACTACACTAAATTCCTGCACCCTTCCTTGTTTAAGTGATACGTAGGAGTGTGTAATGTAGCATTAATGACAGTAAGTAAATTATTAAAAAAAAAAAAATTCATTAATATGAATTCCCTAGGGAGTTAGTACGCCCATGAACTAATTTTCCTGTTAAGGATTTCACTGTTTATAGCTAGCTATAAACTTCTATTAAATTCATGATGAGATATATTTGAGATATTATTATGCCTCAGAGATGGTTATAATAAATATAACAAAAAAGGTGAGCTACTACCAAAGAAGATCAAATTAACTTCATAAATATAAAGAATGTTATTATTTTTCAGACTGAATTTCTATTCATTATATTTGGCTTCATTTTGACATTGTGTAGTTTATAGCACATGAGAATGAGGTAATTGAGTTTATAAAAATGCACCGGATAATAACTGTTCTCTACTATTCATTTAGAGCAAAAACAAACTGGTCTTTGAAGCCCCTTTAACCCTTCTGGTGTCAGACAGCTGAGCTACACAAGGAAGTAAAAATAATAAAATTCACTCTGTAATATTAAAATCAGGTAAGCAAAAAAATAAATAAAAAACAAACACTTTAGACATTTGCATTATGTACCGACAGCACATCAATAGTTAAAGTCATATGTGTTCTTTGTCTTACTTGTGTAAATTGTCATTGTACCAACTGTATGTGATCCCATCATTTATGCTTTCATAGTTTCAGAAACACTATAATAATTGAAAAGATAAATTCATAATCACATTCAGATCACTAGACAAAATAAATTAAATTAAAAAAAAAAGTTTAGTTGCATAACTGGAAAAATGTAAAATTTTATTCCAGGAAAATTAACAGGCTACACAAGAAAAAAATTTGGCAAATGCAACTTTATATTTCAATTTCACACACATCTGTATCTTAAAGAAGGAAAGAAAGACTCACAGACTCTAATGTTATTCTAAAATACTAAAAATGATAGGTTTTCACAAGAACAAAAAAAAAAAAGGAAAAAAAATCGAAATAAAATAATATTAACAACCAATACACCAAAATGTGCAGAAAGTATAAACAGGACTGTGCCTTCAGTAGAATTAATGCTTCACAAATTGTGCAAAATATAATACCAATGCTTTTGTTCTCTCCACGACAGTTGACTTAAAAATATAAACATATTCAACTGCCTGTATTTCATACAATGGACCCGAATTTGTAGCACATCTGAAAGGCGGTGCTCATCCAAGCAATGTGCATACTGATTTGGGGAACAATGGGAGTGAAATGAAAGACATGGTACAAACAATCTTTCATGCCCTCCCAAGTGACTGACCACAAGTGACTGATCCAATTGTCTCAAATAAAATAGAAGATACTATGTAACCCATTAAGGCAACATGATGTATTCTGTATCATTGTGAGTGTTCCAAATGTAAATCCTTTAATACTGCAATAAGCATATTATGTTGCCAAAGAGATTGATATCTAGGTTTGTCCGAAACAAAAGGATAAATTAATATTTGCCAAATTAAAGAAATAAAAAAAACAAACAAAAGAGCACAGATTACATTTAATTGCGAGTATCACTCTTAAAGAAAACCTTCATTTGTTTATAGAAAGAATACTTGAAAAATTAGAATAGAATTTTAACAAAAAAAATACTGCTTTGAAATGCTCCCCAATATTTATAAAGGTAAAGCAACCTTTTAGTAAGATGAATCCAATAATGCATGACAAATCCTTAATCGGGTACAGTATTTTAAAATTCTCATTTGTCAATCTTTGCAAAAGAAGAAGGAAAAAAACAAACCCCCAAACAATATTAAATATTCAGAGTCTTCAAACTCTTAAAAGCATGTTTATTAACACATTACCTCAATTCAATTTATTTAGATGTCCAAATGCTAACCTTTCTGGGTGTATCTTGTTTTTTTTTTTTTTAAATGTGGTGATATACACAGCATTCAGCAGTGAATTGTAGCACCTGCCAATTTGCAAGATCTAACATTCAACCACAGATATAAAATTAGATCCATGGGTTGAGTCCTTTGTTTCAATTACAAACCTTCCCCAGGTGGCCTGCAGGAGCACTTTAGGTTAAAATAGGATTACAGGTGCGCTATTGCAAAGTATGCACAATGCTGCAGACGTTCCATTCTTGATCTTCTCAAGAAATGGCTACAGGCCACAAATGCTTTGCCGACAAGGGTAGTGTTTCACAAGCCTAAACATTTCTGCAGATGCTCCTTCATATAACACAGTAAGGTTCCCTTGGTAACCTGGATTTTCTGCAATAAAGAAGGGTTGTGCTGAAACAGCGCCTCAGCTCCCTGTTAGAGAAAATGCAGACAAAAGGATTGATTCCAGCTTGGGCAAAACTCATCCAGACAGCTGCTGTTAGAAATCCCCCTGGCACCACAGGACCTCTTGCAAAAACTCTCCAGTAACAAGCTACCAAATATGGACCCCACAAGGTCAGGAAAAGGAATGTCATGATATAGAACATTCTACTGATTCTTTTTTCCATTTTGAACTCATCTAGAACCAGAAGCCTTCTCCTGCCTGTGGTGTTTGCATTTTGCCTTATTCCCAGTAAGGTCGGTGGTGTGGGGCCCCTTCCAAAGCCAGCGAGCCAGTTAGCCGCTGCTTGCCCACTGGCTCCAGGACCATGGAAAGTCCAGTTCTGGCTTACGGCGGCTACAAACTGGACTGGCTTCATTTTCCTTCGATCATGAACAAAAAATATCAGCTTGAGGTAGACAAGCTGTGTGGCTAGAAGTATGAGGGCGAGGAGTAACATAAATCCCAAAGAGTCGTTGGCCCTGAAGGAACGATGCTGAAATGTGCATTGGTCTTCTTCCCTTATAAAGGAGTAGGTGCCAACATCTAAAACAGGGGGGAAGGCCATAGCTACAGATAAAGTCCACACCATACAAATTACTGCCAGGCAAGTCCAAAAGGTCAGCCTTTTTGTATAAAATCGATGGTGCGCTATGGCTAAGTATCTGGTCACACTTATGCAGAAGAGCATGAACGCGGTGTGAAAGCAAGACAAAACACCAAGAAATGCAATCACTTTGCAAGTAAGAGCCCCATAAGTCCACGTAGAACCATTCTTTACTGAGGTGAACACAAATGGGAAACAAATAGCAGATCTTAGGATATCTGAGCAGCAAAGATCCAAAAGGAAGTAGTATGGAGCTCTGTGCAAGGTCTTATCTTTCACTAGCAAGATGGAGATAAGAAGGTTGCCCACCACACTGACTCCTATGATGAAGCCCAATGAAGTCAGTTTTAAAAATGCTGTTAAAGGAGACACATTTTGCAGGATGTTGTCAGATGCATGGCTATCGTTCGCCATAGATGGACGATATAGATATTGCTTCAGTCAAGTCTCATGGTCTATATACAAGGGCAAGCACAAGGTAGATCCATACATTTTACTTCACATGTAATCCACAAAAAGAACTGAGCTGGTGTCTTGGTACACATCCCTCTCTCTCATTCTTCTGATGTGTCATACTGTCAAGAGATCTGTAAAAAAAATAATAATTAAATAAACAAAGAAATCTTTTCTTTTCTTCTTTTTCTTCTTTTTCTAGGTAGCAAGTCATGATGTGAGAAAGTGCTACCATAAGAATGTTAATTTATGCAGAAAAGGAGGGGGGAAGTAAATGAATACTATTATTTGTTTTCAAGTTAAATTTAGTAGCAAAAAACACTCAAAATTGGAGAAATAAGCAGCACTAATTAGCAGACTGAATATATATATACCCAAATAGATAATGAGATTGTAATGAATGTTTTACATGTTATACAGTGAATATTGTGCAGCTGATATAGTATATATATGGATCACACCCACATATATATATATATATATATATATATATATATATATATATATATATATATATATATATATATATATATATATATATATATATATATATATATATATATATATATGTGTGTGTGTGTGTGTGTGCATAATGTGTTTTAGTCCACAGTGCTCTATTAGAAAATAAAATCACAATGGTTCCCATCCCCCACCTCTCTGCTTAACAAATACTGTAGGTATATGGCTTGGAAATGTGTATACCACAATAGCACAGTCTTGTGTATATTGCAAAGCACACTCTTAAAAAAATAAGCATCCAATCTGTTATCCCTTTGTAATCATGGTTAGCTAAATGCATATCACAGCAGGATTAGACCCTTCTGATTCACTCTATCATGTAGGGCTGCAGCAATCCAACATTTTCATGGAGAACAAATATGTTCTAATGCATCTGAGCTGATCCAGCACAGCTAACCACATTAGAAATCAGGATCCAGGCTCCATTATTCATACATGGAATCCTTGCAACTGTTACTATGCCCCTTCTCAAAGGATGGAAGGGAATCAGGGTGTGCAGTTCTGCAAGATTTATACAGGCTTTGTCTAAATAAAACCCATCTTTTAATGCTCAGTTGTCAGTGTAACAATGGATTGTGTGTGTGTGTGTGTGTGTGTGTGTGTGTCTGTATGTAATAGTGTGTATTTGTGTAAGCATTGTGTGTGTGTGTGTATGTATATATATATATATATATATATATATATATGCATACACACAGCTAGAAAGACACATAGAACGATAGATAGATAGATGATAGATAGATGATAGGTAGATAGATAGAAAGATAAATAGACAGATAGATAGACAGATAGACAGACTAGATAGATAGATAGATAGATAGAGATGGATAGACAGACTAGATAGATAGATAGATAGATAGATAGATAGATAGATAGATAGATAGATAGATAGATAGACAGATAGATAGACAGACAGACAGACTAGATAGATAGATAGATGATAGATGGATAGATAGAGAGACAGACTAGATAGATAGATAGATAGATAGACAGATAGATATATAGATAGACAGACAGACTAGATAGATAGATAGATAGATAGATAGATAGACAGGATAGATAGATAAAGCACATACACCCATACACACTGACTCCCATAATGTCCCTTTGTTATGGCTTTCTATAATCAGTGGAATGCAGCCATCCATTGGGTCTGTTTGCAACATACCAGGTTCAGACTTGCAATAAGCAGAGCTTGCTGTATCCGTATTGTCTCTCTGAGCTCCAATTATGCAGTTTATTGTCAACAACACCAGATAGCAAAGAAACCCCTTCTATCGTCTATCAGTCATTTCCCTTGCACAGCACTGAACCCACACACAGCATTAATATTATTACAGCCAGAAACACATATACCATATGCAGGAGTGGGGGAATGAGGATAAATCAATCATTAAAATAAAATCAAAGATGTTCCTACCTGTTGATGTCTAATACTCTGAAAGGAGTATTCTTTATTTATTTTTATTTTTTTCTTCAGTGGACGTTCTTCTTTCTAAAAAATGCAGATTTTTTTTCCTTGATACCTTGACTGAGAATATAAGTCAGTGTTTGGGATGGAGCATGCGCTGTGAGGCTCCTTCAACTGTTCGTCTTGTCCTCCCCTGTCGCAGCAGCAGACTCTCCCAGCAACAGCCTCAGCACCACAAGCAGCATTAGCATCCCTTCTGTTGTCTCAATTGAGGGACCATCAGCCTGCTATGCTCCTTGCATACCTGCTACAGATAGAGGAGTCATTTCCTAGACACCTTGCCCAGCCCAGCCAGGGGCAATTAGACCTGCAATGGGGCTGTGTGCTGCCTACTGCCTTTCCCTGAAATCAGGATGGAAATGCAAGATGCAGACTTGTTCTGGACCAATGATTGCAGCTTGCAGTGCATCCTTACTGCTGATGCCTCATTGTGTTCTCTGAAAAACAGTGTGCAACAAAAAAGTAACTGTATCCATGAAATGTCCCCATAGTGATTTTAGTTACATTAAAAAAAAATGCTAGAAAGGAAACACCCATACAGACTGATGCATTGTGAGGTTTTTTTTTTTATATAGTGGTGAGTGGGAGGAGAATGGTGGCCACATTGTTACTGGGAAGAACATGGGAGAATTTGCATGCATCCCTCAGATAGGGTGGGATCATTTAAAGTAACAGTACATGATTGACATGTCATTTATTAAATACAGCAACGAACTAGCAAACAAGTCTGGCATCATTACTTCCAAATAAATAAATTGTATTAACACAAACAACGTTACCTTCTGCATAGACTGTATTCATGTGCTTTTTAATTTGTAACTTTATTAAGATTTCAAGGCAAGTTTAGGGGGAGGAATATAAAAAATATAAAGAGGCAGATCTTGGGTTGATTTTTTTTTTCAATCTCAGTGCATTGTGCATGAAATGCTTTAAAATGAGCGCATACAATTTCTATGGATGTCTCTTTTTGCATTCTCTTTCATAGATTTAATGCCAGTTTTTTTGTTTGTTTTTTTTACGCAGTAATTGGCTGAGGGTTCTCATTAAATTCTGGTCCCCTTTCTGTTACTTAAAAAAATGTAATTTTCTTCCACCCTGATTTATCTACCCAGTGCTGTTGAAAATGGGACACAAGTGTCTGCAACTATGGTGGAAAATGTTTTATTGCATGTAAGAATCTGGCATCATAAAATGTTTCCCAATATTTAAGATTAATATTTATCCAACCCTCTATTTAAGTACAGGGTAATTTGACAAATACAATATAAGTCAAACTTGGACATACAGTAGTAGTTGAGGATTCTGACCTGGAGTTGGCACAGTGGCATATAGTTATACATCCGTACTAACATGATCTGGATTACGAGTGGGTCTCTAATTAGATACATTCAATCACAAGGAACCTGCCTGCAATAACCCTTTACAATAAGCTCTTAAAGGGACACTATAGTCACCCAGACCACTTCAGCTCAATGAAGTGGTCTGGGTGCAATGTCCCTCAGGTTTTAACCCTTTAGATGCAAACCCTTCAGATGCATCGCGCAGAGCATCCATAGCATTCAGACATGCTTTCCTATGGACACTTTGAATGCACTCCCGGCACTTGCCGCGCATTTGTGCATTTTGCTCCGCTGACGTCGGCACAGGGAGCTGACTTCGGTGGGGGAGTAGAGGTCACCAGCACCGAGGGAGCCCGGCGCTGGAATAAGGTAAGTGGCTGAAGGGGTTTTAACCCCTTCAGCACCACGGGAGGGGGACCCTGAGGGTGGGGGCACCCTTTAGGGCACTATAGTGTCAGGAAAAACGCTTTGTTTTCCTGACAATATAGTGATCCTTTAACTAGTGCCTTTAAATCTTGCTATAACATGTTACATAATCATATAACCAGGAATACTTGTGGTACAGTTGCCCAAGGCTTTTAGGAGATCAAATAAATCTGTATTTTCGTTATATGTGTGTGTGTATAAATACATGTTTGTGTGTATGTGTATATGTAAATGTGTCTATCTGTGTGTCTGTGTGTATCTGTGTGTGGTTGTCTGTGTGAGAATCTGTGTTTGATAGTGTTTATGTGTGTGTGACAGTGTGCGTCTGGGTGTTTGGTGGGTATGTGACAGTGTATATAACCTTTTATGCCAAAACTATACACAAATACATCTCTGCATTCAAACACCAACTCTACATACAAATAAACATTCAGTTAATATTCTCCAAAGGATAAAATAATCTTGATATCTGCAGCACCGGGGCAGGTCTTCAACCATGGACCAAGCAATACTGTACCTTTTTTAAATGAACAAAGTTCCACATTCAATATAAAATTAAAATCCAAATGTATTAAAGTACACGTAAAACAATAGATACAATTTACAGAAGTGGGTATTGGGGATAAACATCATCTGGACGGGTTTCACGCCAATATGGCACTTTTTCAACAGTTACTGAGCACCAACTTATCACTTCCCCGATTAAAAAAGCAAATCCCTTATTTCCCTTTGTAAAACATTTCTATACACATACATACACCATACAAAAACACTCCATAATTCAAACACACCGACACTACACACACTTACTGTTCTGAATGTTCTGAAATGGAGGACTACTGGTAGATCGTCAGCTAGCAAATCATTGTAGGAGCTGTACACCGGTTTAAAATCAAAATTTTTGGCCACCCCTGCTCTCCAGAGGTGCCACCATTTTTTTTACAACAGAGCTCTCTCTTTATTAGTTCTGCTACCTCTGAAAATTATGGGTTTCTGTGCATAAATATATTTATCAGTAAAAATAATTCCAATATTGAAAAACATAGTCAAATGGTATACTTAAAGGGACACTATAGACACCCAGACCACTTCATTTCATTGTCCCCTGTACAGTTTAAGAGAAATGGCAATGTTTACATTGCAGGGTTAAGACTGCCTCTAGTGGCTGCCTACCAGCTTTAGTATGGGAAAAATTGAATGTGCACGCACCACTAGCCGCGCATGCACTTTAGGTCCTTAGCTCATAGAGGAGCATTGGACTGGACATTGGCAGAGGAGTCCATGTCTTCTCCATGACATTGTGAAGGGGGAAAGTGAGAAACACAGAGGGAGCTGGAAAATGGTAAGTATTACTATAATTTTTTTTTCTAATTATTACTGCAAAAGGGGGGACAACCAAATACAGCTAGGGAGAGGGACATTGTAGCATTAGGAATACAGATTTGTATTTCTAACCATACAGTGTTCCTTTAAACTAGCAGTCGCTATTTCTTTTTATTACATGATGCATTTGTTCCTATGGTTGCCATGGTAGCATTATTGTTCTATTGTTACTGAGGAAATCTGCAAATTTAAAGGTACAACAGCACCAATACAGGTAAATGCTATCACACACATACATATACACACATAAAAAAGTTCTCTTTCGATAGCATGTGCTAGAGCCTTTAAGGATCGGCTCAAAACATTTGCTCTTTTATATGTTCAGACAGCACATTACCAACTCCTGCATGAGTTTCTATATAAGCAATTGCAAAAGGATAACAGACAAAATAATAGTGTAGTATCCTCTTGGTGCAGTACAATAAGACTGGTTCCAGGCAGACAGCAGAGCCACAGGACTCAAGTATAATAATCACATAAACATTTATTTAAAACTTACAATATTAATAAAATAAAAAGGGCAAAGTAAAGTCTAAATCTACATTTATATATTGATATATACAATATTTAGTAAATATATAAATATATATCGTTAAAAAAAAAAATTTTTTAATGCGTCTCCATTTTGCCCTCTGTCGGTCACTTCTCACTTGATATGTCACTAAAATCAACAGTGCTGTCCCCTATCGAGCAATCATCTTTTTTCCCATCAATCATCTCTTTTTTTACTTAATGGATGGAACTTCGGTTCAAGAAACAAACAATTTTTCATCCATTGTCCGTTTAGTGCTTTCTCCATATTCCTTTTTTTCAGAGTTACGAAATTCAAAAGAACCATCGTTCGCCCAAATTCAGCTGCTTGTGAAGTTGTTTATATAGGGGCATCTGTCTGTGGCAAAGAGGTTGGGCTCAAGTGGGTGGATGGGCCATGATGTTTTAAATGGCATGGCCAACTGAAAAAGGGACATACCATCCTGGTGTACATGCAGGCCATGGCAATGTTTGGACACACGGAGAAATGCCAGACTGAAGGGAGATGTACAAATGGTCTACTCTCACAAGATGTGCAGACCACAAGCTACATCTACTGGACTACCAGGCATTGATTCAACCTGAGGTACACAGTCACAATAAATCTGTAGGTGAGTAGGAATTGTGTCAAACAATACAAAGGCTTAGATAAGTCCAAAAGGAAAGTGTTATTTACGCGCAGGCAATAAGGTAACTTATTTCTAGACAGACAAATCATATCTAGAAATACATACAATGTACAGTATAACACATTTCCCATTAAGTTATATAATGGTTGCACAGGTATGTAATTCTAATGAGACATACTCCAAAGTTCTTGAAGGAACCATGCTTTGGGGATGACCGATCTCTTTCTATTAAAACGATTGTTCTTTGAATTGTTATTGCTTACTGGAAATATTTTCAGCCAGTCTAAATGTAATCGGAATACACGCATGAGAAAGGTAAAGACAAATCTATAAAGTTTGACTTTTTTGAGATTTCTGCAAAATAAACACAACTTGTTTATATTTGTTGTTCTTATCAATAGTAAAATGCATATTGATTTTCTTAACTATCCGATCCTAATAAATTTATTAAAAATGGTCATGACACTCCATTGCACTTCAAAGTATTACCTTGGCATTACGAACGGTCGCTCACTCATAGTATAGAGGTTCATTTCCATTTAATTTGGTAGTATTTAGAATATGCTTTAGATCTTTGACTTTTTTGCCATTAAAAATATCTCTAAAACCATTGCTTCTGGTGTTGTCATGGTAGTTGTTTACTTCTCTGGTCTCAGGATGTGTAGGATTCATCCCCGAAATGTCTAAATTTTCCACTGGTTGATTACTCTGTCTAATGAATTAGAAAAAGTGTCACAGTGTTTTTATGGGATGTCTCACATTTGTACTGAAACAGCTCACACATGCCACCTAGTGAGTTGCACATTGGTGTTACTTTGCTGAGACCACAGGTTTTTTTTTTGTGTGGTTTTTTAGGGCAAATCAACTTAGTATTTCAACTCCAATATATTTAATCACTTAAAATACAATCCATAAGATACATACTTTCATACTTTATACTTGTATTTCCATGGTAACATAAACTGTGGGCTCCCCAAGACAGAAAAAAAGACATTCTAATTAAAGTATACCTGCATAATCTACCTGTCCTTACTGGGTAGGAGATATTTCCCTTTCAATTCCCATACTAGATCAAGCAAATATAAGGTTAAAGCAAAGGCTTTTTTTTTTATTATTATCAATATACAGATTTAGCGGGACCCCAGCTGTTCCTTGCTGTTTTGTCCTCGTTTAAACAAATCACTCAATAGAAAATGCCCTTGAAAATAAATGCATGTGTCCCCACAATAGGAAAAGTATGAATACTAA